CTGGGTATTTTATTGCAGACTTAATAAAGGTAAACCTTAAGCAACTGTTGCATACAAACTATAGATTTAACCTAAACAATCTTTGTGCTTATGAATCTATCAGATGCTTTTTTTTAATCATTTCAAAGCAAAAATATAATAAATCCTTAGGCACCACTGTGCGATGCTGTGTCCTTATACAAGTTTTATTTTAAAATCGACATAAAAAATACAGATCGAAGCTTGTTTTCATTTTGCTTTGGCACTCAAAAACATATTTCATTTTAACCATAGCACATCATATTGAATGGGCAAAAACACGACACACGCTTGTAGAGAATTGTTTTTCCTTATGCTCTCACATTTGTAGCATGAATTGAATTTAAGAATGTGATTGAAAATAAAATCGGCTTAAAGACCAGTCACCGGGAACAGAACTTGGCGCTGGCTTTGGCTCTTTGTTTTTAATGACTCGTTGCTATTGTTTGGCTTTTGTCGTTGTCGTTTTCATTGTTGGCATAGTCGTAGACGTAGCCGTTGGCTTTTGAGTGGCATGCGTCCAAGTAATTTTAATTCTATTACCCATTATAGGAGAAAATTCTGCAACGCGAGCCGCTCTCTGAAGTACTGCTGCTGCTGCTTGCTGATGCTGTGGATGCTGCAACTGGAGCTGCACTTAATTTCTATTATAATGATGACATGCCGTCTGCAAGGCAGTCGCTCCTATACGCTGCCCAGCAGTCAGCCCAGTCACGCCCCAAACGCCCACCAAATACCCACACGTAGCCATATATACGGGCATGCGAATGTTGCTGGCGCTGGCATTGCCATATTATTTTTTTTTCCTATATATGTATTTTATTCTGCGCTCTTAATTTTTGCCATTTGGCGACACGATGCGACGCGACGCTTCCGCTTTTATGAACATTTAGATGCAAAGTTTCTGGCATAAAAATGGCGTGGCAGATAATTTTCATAATTTTCAACTACATTTCATTGTGCAACTGTGTGCGGGCGTTGGCGTTTGGCTACGGGGGCGTGGCCCAACCCCGTCCCGGCCCGGCCAGGCCTCGCCGTGGCCAGTCGCAGTCGGTTTCGCTCGTTATTCTCAGTTTTATTTTCGTGTGACACTAAAAAGGAAGCCAAAAGTCAAAGTCGCTGCTGCAGCGTCAAAGTTGGGTTTTATTAGCTCGCTGCTTGCATCTCAGAAAACCGATGCAACTAAATTGTACCCTGTAACTGTAACAACTGTACTAAATGTTAGCCAGAAAGTTTTACTTTCTTTAATTCTTATTTAATAGTTTTAGAAAAAATTGTAAACTGGGTTCGCCAATGAAGAGTCCACTTCTAATAATTTGGCATATCTTTGAAGATAAATAAGTAGAAACAGAGACTGACTAACTCCTATTTTTTATTAGAAAAGTGGAGTCAACTTATGATTTTTTCTATTTTCTACTGTCTGTTACATATTTATACAAAATGATCAAGGCATTTGGAATTCATTTTAAACAGTTGACAGGGTATAGCAAGTGCAGCGGCAGTGGCAGATTTTGTGTAGTCATTCAGATGTTAAACTGTAGACGAAAGTGTATTATATTTTATTAGCTGTGCTGGCAAATTTATACTGTTAAAGGGCTTGGAGCCGTTGGCTTCGCAATGACAAATTCTATAAGACATAGTGGGCAAGAGCGAAGCGCAGCCTGAAAGTATGCTATAAAATGGTGCAACGTGTTAAACGGTAAACACACTTCGCAACACGCATTGTGTGTGTGTGTGTGCGTGTGTGTGTATGGTGTGAATGTGTGAGTATGTTGTACTAGAATGCTTAGCATATTGCAAGCAAAACGGAAAATGCAACAGAGTTACGTAAAACACATTACGTGGCTGACTGGCGCCATCATACACATTTATGTCAATGTATTTCACATGTTGCCTCTGTCGATGGGTTGCAGTTAAGTGCTGCATGCAAACGGGTTTGTGATCCACACTTATTTTCTTAGTTTCTTATTTTCTTTTGCTATATTCATTTAACTATCCAGTAATTCGTTTGGCTCCTGCAAGTAATGAGAATATATGTAAAAATTGGCAGCAGTTCTATTTTGTCTCCATTTACTGTCAAAAAAACTTTTGCGACATTTTTGCATTATTTACACAATTTATATTATTAATTTTGGTTTAGTCACAGGCAGTTGATTCCGCAAATTTGTACTTGTTTCAATTTCATTGCGACAATCATAATAATGATAAGCAAGTTTGCATTTGCTTCATCAAATTGCCAGTAAATACACAGCAAAAGCCACTATCAAAATCAACAACTTTTACTCAATGCCATACAATTTAATTTAAATGTAAATTCATTTTTCACACATATACTGCAGAATGAATTTGGTATTGTAAAGTTTTAAGCTTACTTATCCAACTACATTTCAGAAGTCTGCCGCTTGTGGTTGCAGTTATAGATTGCCAGTTGGATGGAATGGGATGGGAATGAAAGTATAAATACTTGGATGATGTTAGGCGTGCGGCCACACCTTTTGAGCTTGGCGCAAAACTTGGGGCAGTGTCAGTTAGTTGGTAACGTATTTTGTTGCAGCAAACGTTTCCGCTTATAGAACTTTGTCATATCCGGCATTTGCTTACAATTCAAATTGGCTTGCCAGTCGGACACAGATAGAGAGAGAGAGAGAGAGAGAGAGAGGGAGAGGGAGAGAGAAGAAGAGAATGGGAGACACAGACAGTAAGATAGCATATTTCTTGATCCCAAGTTTTCGCAACAGAAAAGTTTTCAAATTCAGGTGTAATGTGCGGAAATGCTCACAGTCAGTTTCTCAGCTGTGTATACAGACTTTAAAGTAAATATTTGTACATTGACTTGACTTTCAAACAGCTTGTCTGTCTCCATCATTCTTCACATTTCGTTCTGCCTGCATATGTAAAATTATTTTGCATACAAATCAATATGCTCCATCACAAGTGTCACTTTTTCCACCGTTGTTGCACTGGCTTATATAATTTGATTGTCTGTACACTCTCACAGATACACACATAGACACTCACACACACACACACACACAGCTGATGCTTAGATATTTCATAAGCAAAAATATGGTTTAAGGTTTTTTGTTCGAGCACCTAACAAGAAATTTTCCCAGTTGCAAATGCATCAGTTGACTTCATTGTTCTCCAGCTGACAATTCCAAATTGTGTAAGAAACTGTTGGTCATATAGATTAAGACGAGTGCCACACCATAACATGACACACATGCCGTGTCATACGTAACGAGTACGTATTTCTTATCTCTCTGGCAGAGCGTTCGAAATAGTTTCACTTTGTAAATAAAAACAATTAAACTTGTAGTGCTTTGTGTTTTTTAATTGAAAACTTATCAAACATTTTCCACTCCGACTGCTGCACAAGACATTTCACTTGCGCATTTGAGATCAAATTATAATTATTTCAAGTTTCTGTTCTATTTGCCCAGTGCAGCGTGTATTTTTCACATTCAATTGTCTTTGAAGTGCCCATCCAATTATTGTCAGCTATTAATCAAAGTAGAGTATAATGTAGATATGTTGTACTTGGACATGATAAATTTTAGTTTATAGGTATATGTGATTCAATTTCACACATTTCAATAATGTAATCAAGAGTTATTCAGAATTGAAATTATTTAAGAAAATGCACCTCGTGTTCTTAAGTTATTTGTAGAGATTTCACTTGATTTAAATAAAAGCGCAGTTTGCAGATCATATTCAACTTTAGAACTTTGCAAGCAGTAAAATTGTTTTGTGACAAGAAGCCTCGAACTTAAAAATCGAATAAATTGTTATTTTGAATTCCAGTTTATGGCAGTCTTTGAAGTAAAGTTAATCACTCTATCGCAAAGATAATGACTAAAACTCGTGACTGCAGCGACCCACAATGCAAATGCAAATACCCAAAAATTAATCGTTTTGCTAATTAATTTTTGCGTCAACTATTTAGCAAATTAAAATTATAACAAAATACGCAGTTTTCTGGCAGAAACTGTAGGCGCTGATAAGCTGCAATGTTTTGCTGCTTCGCTTGCTAAAAATAATTAAAAAATATGATACATATATCTCAAAGTCTGTTTAAATATGTATTTATTAGTGAAGGTAATCGCAGCCAACGCAGATTGTAAAACATGCACTGATAAGCGTACCATAATGAAGTCTGCTGATTTGTATGCTATGAATTATGGCGATAAACGTATTTCCCTTTCATCAATATGTCATCGATAATGCTGTCTGCCAAGTCGGGTTGCCCCTATGACGAATTGCAGGTAATCGGTATTATTCGCATTTATTTATTGATCAACTTAGGTTCAAAAGTTCTCAGAATCCAGCAAGATTCTGATAATCAGAGCTAAATCAGCAAATGCAATGGTTGTGAAGCACACGCCTGCCATATAGATAACTTTCTGAGCCTTTTTTAAGTGAATGCTAAAATAAAAAATCCAACTTATTATATAACAACAATTTAAAGAAGCTTGAGCCATAAATTAAAAAAGTAAACTACTATTTCATATATGTCATAAAAGTTCTCTACTACTTGATTTTTAAATTTTTCCTGATGTATATTAAGTTACTATAAATTTGATATATTATTGTTATTTAATAGAATTAGTTAAAATATCAAACCATAATCAATATGAAAGCAAAGTCCGAAAGCATCAACTCATATTTATAATTTAGTAATGATACAACTTAACTAATAATTTATATAATAATAAATTATTGAAAAATATAAGTTGCAAGTTTAGATAATGATGTTTATTGATAGCTGGCAACTCTGACGCCAGCCCATGTGTATATCTAATCTTTGAGCCGCCCGACACTGTAGACCTCACTGCGTGTGTGTCCTCCCCCCATCTACAAATTGACATTGCGATAAGCGAAGAATTTGCATCACAAATCACTTACACCCCAAGCAAAGCCTATTGACCACCAACCACCAACTAGTATTTGATGTGTGATTTTCTTTTCTTTTCTTTCGCCAGAGAGTTTTTGCTTATAAAAGCTTGATTTGCGCCTTTGCTGGATTCAGTCTGGAACTGAGTTCCACATCAAGCAGCAGCATGTTTTTGACCAAAGGTCTGATTTGTATTGCCTTCGTGGCACTGGCCCATGCCCAGTTTGCCACCAACTACAAGAGTGGGCGCAACGGCATGGTTCACCTGTTCGAGTGGAAATGGGATGACATTGCGGCCGAGTGCGAGAACTTCCTGGGCCCCAACGGCTATGCTGGTCTACAGGTAAGCTATACGAATGAAATATCTAAACCTTTTTTACTTAATTACTTATTACAAAATTAAAAATAAAACATAATTCATGTAATTTCCTTGGCCCGTAGGTTTCACCTGTCAATGAGAATGCAGTGATTGGCGGTCGTCCCTGGTGGGAGCGTTATCAGCCCATTTCCTATAAGCTGACCACCCGCTCCGGTAACGAGCAGCAGTTCGCCAACATGGTCAGGCGTTGCAATAATGCTGGCGTCCGCACCTATGTGGATGTGGTGTTCAATCATATGGCCGCCGATGGCGGTAGGTCTGGTACTGGCGGCAGCAGTGCCGATCCCAGCATAAAGAGCTTCCCCGGCGTGCCGTTCTCCTCGCTGGACTTCAATCCCACCTGTGCCATTACCAACTATGCCGATCCCGCCAATGTGCGCAACTGCGAGCTGGTCGGCCTGCGCGACCTTAATCAGGGTAACGCCTGGGTGCGTGACAAGGTTGTTGATTTCCTCAATCACTTGATAGATTTGGGCGTCGCCGGTTTCCGTGTGGATGCCGCCAAGCATATGTGGCCCGGAGATTTGGGTGCCATTTATGGACGCCTCAAGAATCTGAATACCGATCATGGTTTCAACTCGGGTGCTCGTCCTTACATCGTGCAGGAGGTTATTGATCTGGGCAACGAGGCCATTAAGAAGTCCGAATACACTGGCATGGGTGCCATCACCGAATTCCGTCACTCCGACTCCATTGGCAAGGTGTTCCGCGGCAAGGATCAGCTGCGCTATCTGACCAACTGGGGCACCGCCTGGGGCTTTGCCGCCTCCGATCGTTCGCTTGTGTTTGTGGACAATCATGATAACCAGCGTGGTCATGGTGCTGGTGGTGCAGATGTGCTCACCTACAAAGTGGCAAGGAATTACAAAATGGCGTCAGCTTTCATGTTGGCCCATCCCTTCGGCACTCCACGCATCATGTCCTCTTTCGCATTCACCAACACTGACCAGGGACCACCGACCACCGATGGAAACAATATTGCCTCGCCCAAATTCAACAGTGACAAGTCTTGCAGCGGTGGCTGGGTGTGCGAGCATCGTTGGCGCCAAATCTACAACATGGTTTTGTTCAGGAATGCGGTCGGTGACGGTCAGTTGCAGAACTGGTGGGATAACGGAAAGAATCAGATTTCCTTTAGTCGTGGCAATAGGGGCTTTGTGGCCTTCAATAATGACAACTACGATTTGAATAGCTCGCTGCAAACTGGTCTCCCTGGCGGCACCTACTGCGATGTCATCTCCGGCCAGAAGAGCGGTTCCGGCTGCACCGGCAAGACCATCTCCGTTGGCTCCGATGGACGTGCCAACATCTCGATTCGCAACTCCGATGAGGATGGTGTTGTTGCCATTCATGTCAATGCTAAGTTGTAAGGTTTTATTTATTTCACTTAACCTCCACCTACTTGTATACAACAAGATTAGAGTCGTTCAGATTATATCAAAGCACATAAAAGAAGCTGACTTTCATTTTGTATGCCTGTTGCAGTGGTCTTAGCCCAATTTTAATCGAGTTCTAAGCCCTTTACCCAAGTGTCTTGGACAAAACTTTTTATCCCAACAAACAGCACAATAAAGCAGCGCATTTATGTGACTACAGAGTCCCAAGTGTGGACTCTTTAAAAAAACCAGCGAGATAAGTCGACTAAAAGATACCCAGTTCGTCAGCCAAAGCAAAAATCTATCACTATTGAGTTTGCAATAAAATAGCTCTTTATAATAGTTGCTATCATAGGTTTGAAAGCTGTTTTGCTTACATTTGAAAGCTCAACACAATCAGAAGTAATTACCGATAACCCATATCGAATGTGTGTTCTGTTTCTGAGAACATACAAATTGTTTCAATTTGAGCAGAGTGATTCATACAATTATGTTTCTCATAAATATTTCTATTTTTAGACGCTATATCTTTTACTGTCGCTATTGAAATATATATACACAATAAAACTCATTTTTAATGGGTACATAAAATTAATTAAATAGCACAATACACTGCGCTAGATGGGTCATCAGAGATTAGAGTCCATTACGCTGCTGACAAACGCAGGTGTAAGTTCTAAGGTGAAAGGTGAAAGCTGCAGAAATGGCTGCTGCTGCTTCTGATGAGGTCCCCAATCCATTGAAAATACTCAAGACTCAGCGTCAGTTTTCTAATGCTGATATACGCAATGAGTGGCCATAAAAACAAACATAAATATGAACCATTATCCGGCAACTTACATGCCAAACATATCGCACAACATTATCATTTGTCAGCACACCCTATCGTTTCTAAACTCTCCTCCCCACATCCCTCTAGCTGTTGTCGACTAGACATTCACAATGAGCACTCTTAGGTTTTGTAGCAAATTTTGTGCTTGGGTTATGGAAGTGCAAGCTATAGCATGCATTTAAATCCAAATAGAGCAAATAGACATTCAGCATGAATACAGCAGGAATACGAGCGAGTGGGTATCCTGTGCATGCTGAAATCCTTGTACGATTTTGTTGCATAAAAATATGCACTCATAACTTGTGACCATGATATGAATGAATGTGTGCAGCTCTATCAAAGGATTTTCATGTCATTTGCTAGAGGTCAAGTGAGTCGACAACAGCAGCAGCAACAGCTACAGGATACAGTCAGGACTATGGGTAATGTATGCATACAGTCAACTTGGCTTGCATTTTGTGAAAGTTTCCTGCTACTGCTCCAACTTCCTGACACACAGTCCGTGTGTGCGTATGTATGTTGTGTATTGTAAATATATACAAAACAGCGCATAATTCTTAATAAAGTCATAAAATTGCAAAGTAAATCAGTTTTTTCTGAGCGAACGCAGCGCAGATAAACTCGACTTTTTATTACGCAAAACGCAATTTTCATATGCTTCCAGGAGAGATTGTGATTTAGCAAGTATGTGTGTGTGCGTGTGTTGTGTCGTGTGTGCCAAGGCAAATCCATCTGCATAAAGAGGGCAAAAAAAAAAAAAAAAAATCACAAGTCGCATCAAACATTGTATATATACCAAAAGCCGTAGCATGTCTAGATTGCGGTTCTTTCTTATGGGTCCCTCGACTCGATGACTAACTCCAGGGCGACAGCCAAACTTTGAGGCATACTACACAAACCCACATATATACATATATATGTATATTATATACATGTATGGAGTGACATACACAGAAATAAAATTAATTTAAAATCGCTGACAAAGGAGAGCGCAAGAGCGCCTCGTTCGTATTTATGCAAAATATCAAAATATGATGCCTGATTCTTGTTGTTGTCATTCTTTCTTTTTATGGGCTGGTGGCCATTGTCAAGCTTATGGCGACTCACACGTTCAATGGTCTTAAAGAAATTTGACTGAGGCATTCGTTTAAAATGTGAGCTTCATTTGGCATTTTCTAGCGGCCAGCAGAGTGCTCCAAAAATAGCCGAAACGTGATCATATTGAATATTCACCATTTATTTTTGGGCGTTTTTCACGTCGACATAACACGGTGTTTCTACCTGTTTAGATACACTGTCCACTCGCAGTGAGGTATATTGGATTTGTGCAATGTGGCACTTCTACTTTATAATACTTTTTGTAAGAAACACAACTTTTTTATATCTCTTTCTTTCTGTACAATCTATTATTAGGTTGACAGCGCATCTCGCTGTTGGGAGTTTGCAACTATCCATATTGTAAATATTCTTTCCCTTTTTTTTCGCTATTTTTAAGAACCGAATAGTCAAGAAATGTCTGTCTGTCATACATAGTGAAAACATTTAGATATATATATACATACGTATGCTTGTACACATATGAGCAGCGCATGCTTTAAATTTAACTTCAGTTGGATAACATTGCTACCCTTTGCTGGTAAACATATCCTGACAGCCTGTCAAACAAGTTTCAAAGCTGACTTTTAAATGTTAATGTTATGTTGGAAGCTCGTAATGCCGTTGCTGCCACTGGCAAAGTTCGTATATTTCTTTATGAAGGGGAACATGTTTAGATGTTGAATCATAAGTGAACGATTTCCTCTTTTATTAGATGAGGATGAAAAGTGCTAAACGTAATTATTATTGAAAATACTCCTGATCCTTAAAATATCTTACCTTCCAAAATGTGAAGATCTAATTGAGAAACATGAGAAAAATAAAGCCGACATCAAATAAAAAATTATACATCAATTAAAATAAATAAAGAGTATTGGAAAGTGCATTTGTAAAGAAAATTATCAGTACATATAATTTTTCTCAAAAAAAACCACAAGGCCTTAAAAAAAAGTGATGTTATTGATTTAAATAGTGTAAAAACCGTCTGCGAAAATCAGCGTTGTCTGCATTCAGCATGTGCAACTATAATTCCCTAAATTTGCACTATGAATGTGTGATACATTTATAGTTTTTAATTACTTGATGGCCAAAAAGAGATAATTCTCGCCACAATTTTTAGCGCATGCAATCAAAATCCTAAGGCCCGCAGAAAAAATAGCTAGTGCAACGCAAATGGATGAAGGATATTAGAGCTTTTAAAAATTACATTTACCGACATTTATCTTCACTTTTTTTATGCGACCAACTGTGGGCAGACAGAGAACCAAAAACGAAAAACCGAAAGAACACAAAAAATAAAAATAAGCAAATAAACTGTGAGTCGGGCAAAAAAAAAAGAACAAATCAAAAAAAAAAAAAAAAATGAAGCAGAAAAACAATTTGATTTAGCTGCAGGCAAATATTAAATGCATGTGAACAGACACAGATAGAGAGAGACATATAGCGAGAGGGTGTATGAGAGAGAGAGGGACTCCTTCGAGCCATGGACCATGCCCCGCGGTCAGCGTTCAACGGGACAACATCAAATTCAGGGCGGAACATGGCGAAAAACCAGCGGCGACTGCAGTTAGGACCCGGCCGCGAATTGTAGCCATGCTGACAGGCAGCGGAAAGCACATTTGTAACGATAACGTTCGTTTCTATTTCTAAACTCCCAACTGGGCGTCCAAGTATGTGTGAGTGTTTGTTGTGTTTGTCTATGTGTGTGACCATTAATTTTGAGCGCGTTTAACATGAAAACTACATGGCACAACTGATTTCGTGCACCCTGTGCAAACACTGGCCACATACTGAGATACACACACACACTGAGCCACACACATATAGATGCGAACATATATAAACAGAGATAGTTCATGCCCGGGAGCCAACAATGAAACAGTTATACTATAAATAAGTAAGCAAGAGGGCGAAAAATAAAACGAAAAACGAAGACAAACAAAATAAAAGCGAAATAGCAAACCAAACGTAATGGGAAAAGCGCAAAAAGCGGGTCACTGCGCGCAAAATGGCAGCAATGATGATGGCGGATGCCGCCGCCGACGAGCGGATGCTGACGAAAGAGCAAAAAGAAGCCAACAACAATAGCAGCAGCATCAGTAGTAGCATCAGCAGCAGCAGCAGCGGGTATAAAATGTAGATATTGCCCAGCACCAACTCTGACTCCAACTCCAGGTCCATCTAGTGTACATCGTACATCAAGGCGGGTAGCGTATTTTACGCAAAATGAAATAAATAAAAACATTAAAGAAAAAAAAATACTTTAAAAAAAAACACAATTTGTGCGTGTGTGTTTGTCTGTGTGTGTGCTCACGAAATAATATACAACGCGGGCGAGGCACGAGACATTTTGAAAACGAAAATCATCAGCGCTAACTCACACACGTACACGGACACAAGTGCGGGCGCACGAGGCGTATGCGCTACGTGAAAATAAAGAAGTGCGCTCAAAAGTATGCAACAAGAAGCGAGCATAGAAGCAACACTGCAAAATGCGAGCGAAATAAACAAACAGGCGCCAACACAATAGAAAAAAAACTCACACATTATTTGACCTCATATGAGATAGCATAAATAACTTTAGCGCATTTACTTGCAATCACAATTTTGCATATACTTCTATTTATGCCTGGTCAACGATTAAAAGCCGAATAATATTTACATTGTATTGATAAGTTAATTAATAGCCGGATATAGATCTCGTCTAAATATATTCTTTCGAGATTTAATTCTCATTGCATATTAATCAGTTCATATCTTAATATGCTATAAAAGTTACAGAGGACACTCTAGTTCAGCACTCGTTTACCAATATAATATTTATTTCATTTATAAGAATATTTCATAGTCGAGTACACTCGCCCAAAATTTATGTCTATGGGTAAAACTTTCTTAACTTTAACAGTCATTTTTGAAATGCCATTTAAAATTTGATGTTATTACTTGCGAACCTGCTCAGTTTTGTGTGTGTTTTTTGTTATTTGAAAGTTTTTATGTGGGTGCTTGTGAATGTGATTGCTTGTGCAAGGTCAATGAAATGTTCATTGTGATTTTGATTGCTATTTGGCCTTTTTGCTGGCCGACATCAAACCGCTAATTATTGAGGCTCGTCTCAAGGCGACAGAAGCTGGCAGCACTCAACATCATTC